GGATTTTTTTGGGATATTTTGGGGATTTGGGATTTTGGGGGGATTTTTTGGGATTTGGGTTTTTTTTCGGGATTTCTTTTGGAATTTGGGATTTTTTTGGATATTTTGGGGGGGATTTGGGGGTTTTTCGGGGATTTTTTTTGGATTTTGGATTTTTTTTTGGATATTTTGGGGGGGATTTGGGTTTTTTGGAATTTATTTGGAATTTGGGTTTTTTTGGGATCTTTTTGGGGATTTGGGGTTTTTTGGGGGGAATTTTTTGGGGGGGGATTTGGAGTTTTCTCCTCGGGATTTGAGATTTCCTCGAGATTTGGGATTTTTTAAAGGATTTTATGGGGGAAATTCAGGATTTTGGGAGAATTTGAGATTTTTTCCTTGGGATTTGGGATTTTCTTGAGATTTGGGGGATTTTTTTCTGGAATTCAGAGTTTTTTCCTTGAGATTTAAGATTTCTCCTCAAAATTTGGGAATTTTTTTAAGGATTTTTGGGAAGAATTCAGGAATTTTCTTGGGATTTGAGATTTTTTTCTGGAATTCGGAATTTTTTCCTTGAGATTTAAGATTTCTCCTCAAGATTTGGAATCTTTTGAAGGATTCTTGGGAAGAATTCGGGAATTTTTTTGGGGATTTGAGATTTTTTTCTTGGGATTTGGAATTTTGGCTTTTTTTTTCCTTGGGATTTGGGATTTTCTTGAGATTTGGGGGATTTTTTCTGGAATTCAAAATTTTTTCCTTGAGATTTAAGATTTCTCCTCAAAATTTGGGAATTTTTTGAAGGATTCTTGGGAAGAATTTGGGAATTTTTTTGGGATTTGAGATTTTTTCTGGGAATTTTTTCCTCATGATTTACGATTTCTCCTCAACATCTAAAATTTTCCCAGGATTTTTTTTTTGGGGGGGAAGAAAATCCAAGATTTTTTTTTCCCATTTCCAGGTATTTTTTTTTTTTTTCCCCGTTAAATCTCATTTCCAATTCCCGATTTTCCTTGGCTGTTCCCGCAGGATTTATCCCGGTGCTGGAGCGATCCCGAGCCCAAATCCCGGGAATTTTTTCCCGGTTCAGCCTCCTGAGGCTCCGGCGCTCCTCGGCTCTGGGAGGGGCTCGGCTGGGAGCCGGGAATTTGGGAATGGAGCTGCCGCTGGATCGGGAGGGGAACGTCGAGGTGTTCTACACACATCGCTTCTGAGAGCCGGAAAAACCGGGAATGGGCTCGGAAAATCGGGAATGGGGCTTGGAAAATCGGGAATGTCGAGGTGTTCTACACCCATCGGTTCTGAGAGGGAAAAAAACCGGGAATGGGCACCAAAAACCAGGAATGGGCACTGGAAAACCAGGAATGTCGAGGTGTTCTACACACAGCGGTTCTGAGAGCACCGGAAAACCGGGAATGGGCTTGGAAAATTGGGAATGTCCGGAAAATTGGGAATGGGGCTCGGAAAACCGGGAATGGGCACCAAAAATCGGAAATGGGCACTGGAAAACTGGGAATGTTGAGGTGTTCTACAGTCACAGGTTCTGAGAGACAGAAAAACCGGGAATGGGCTCGGAAAACCGGGAATGGGCTCGGAAAACCGGGAATGGGCACTGAAAAACTGGGAATGTCGAGGTGTTCTACACGCACCGGTTCTGAGCGGGAAAAAAACTGGGAATGGGGTTTGGAAAATCGGGAATGGGCTCAGAAAAGAGGGAATGGGCTCGGAAAATTGGGAATGGGCACCAAAAACTGGGAATGGGCTCAGAAAACTGGGAATAGGAACTGAAAAACTGGGAATGTCGAGGTGTTCTACGCACAGCGGTTCTGAGAGCCAGAAAAACCGGGAATGGGCTCGGAAAATTGGGAATGGGCACCAAAAACTGGGAATGGGGCCTGGAAAATCAGGAATGGGGCCCAGAAAATTGGGAATGTCGAGGTGTTCTACACTCATCGGTTCTGAGAGGGAAAAACCGGGAATGGGCTTGGAAAATTGGGAATGGAGACCAAAAAATGGGAATAGACCCCAAAAACCAGGAATGGGCACCAAAAACCGGGAATGGGCTTGGAAAACTGGGAATGGGGCTCGGAAAACCGGGAATGGGCACCAGAAATGGGGAATGGGCTCGGAAAACAGGGAATAGGAACTGAAAAACCGGGAATGTCAAGGTGTTCTACACTCACCGGTTCTGAGAGCCCCGGAAAACCGGGAATGGGGCTTGGAAAACTGGGAATGGACCTGAAAAATCAGGAATGGGCACAAAAAAATTGGGAACTGGCCCCAAAAACCAGGAATGGGGCCTGGAAAATTGGGAATGGGCTTGGAAAACTGGCTTGGAAAACTGGGAATGTCGAGGTGTTCTACACTCACCGGTTCTGAGAGGGAAAAAAACCAGGAATGGCATCGAAAAATCGGGAATGGCTCCTGAAAAACCGGGAATGGGCCCTGAGAAGTGCCGGAGGAGGCCTGGAATGAGAGGGGGGCTTGTGGTTCGGCAATGAAAGGGTTAATGGGGAATGGGATCACGGGAATGTGGGAATGTGGGAATGGGATCACGGGAATGGGGCAGGATGAGGGTGGGGATGTGGGGATGGGAGCAGGGATGGGAAACTGAGGCAGGGAATGGGACGGGACCCATGAGATCCATGGGATCCATTGGATGGGATCCGTGGGATGGATCCGTGGGATGGGATCCATGGGATGGGATCCATGGGATGGATCCGTGGGATGGGATCCGTGGGATCCATGGGATGGATCCATGGGACGGGATCCATGAGATTCGTGGGATCCATGGGATGGGATCCATGGGATGGGATCCGTGGGATGGGATCCATGGGATGGGATCCGTGGGATCCATGGGATGGGATCCATTGGATGCCGTTGGAAGTGGCACCAGCTCAGCCCCGCTGGGAAGGGAAATCCCAAAGTGGGGGCGGGGCCGCGGGAAAGGGAGGAAAAGGGACCCAGAATGATCCCAATCCCGATCCTGATCCTGATCCCGATCCCAATCCCGATCCCAATCCCAATCCCGATCCTGATCCCAATCCCAATCCCGATCCTGATCCCAATCCCAATCCTGATCCTGATCCTGATCCCGATCCCAATCCTGATCCCAATCCCGATCCCAATCCCGATCCCAATCCGATCCTGATCCTGATCCCGATCCCAATCCCAATCCCGATCCTGATCCCGATCCCGATCCTGATCCCGATCCTGATCCTGATCCCAATCCCGATCCTGATGCTGTTCCTGATCCCAATCCCAATCCCAATCCCGATCCTGATCCCGATCCCAATCCCAATCCCAATCCTGATCCTGATCCCGATCCCAATCCTGAACCCAATCCCAATCCCGATCCTGATCCTGATCCCAATCCTGATCCCAATCCCAATCCCAATCCTGATCCTGATCCCGATCCCAATCCTGATCCCAATCCTGATCCCAATCCTGATCCCAATCCCAATCCCTATCCTGATCCTGTTCCTGATCCCAATCCTGATTCTGATTCCAATCCTGATCCTGATCCTGAAACCAATCCTGATCCCAATCCCGATCCTGGATCCTGATCCCGATCCCAATCCTGAACCCAATCCCAATCCCGGTCCCGATCCTGATCCTGAGGAGGCCGGGCTGGAACACGGGAATGGGATTGAGATTGGGAATGGAATCGGGAATGGGAATTGGGAACAGGATCCGGGTTGGGATCAGGATCGGGATTGGGATCGGGATTGGGATCAGGATCAGGATTGGGAATGGAAAATGGGATCGGGAATGCGAATCGGGATTGGGATCGGGATCAGGACTGGGAATGGGATCAAGATCAGGATTGAGATTGGGAATGGGAACAGGATCGGGATCAGGATCGGGATGGGGAAGGGAATTGGGATTGGGAACAGGATCAAGATTGGGAATGGGAATTGGGATCAAGATCAGGATCAGGATTGAGACCAGGACTGGGAATTGGGATTTGGATCAGGATCGGGATCAGGATCGGGATTGGGATCAGGACTGGGAATGGGATCAAGGGATCAGGACTGGGAATGGGATCAAGATCAGGATTGAGATTGAGATTGGGAATGGGAACAGGATCTGGATCGGGAATGGGATCAGGATTTGGATCAGGATTGGGAAGGGAATTTGGATTTGGATCAGGATCAGGATCAGGATTGAGATCAGGACTGGGAATTGGGATTTGGATCGGGATTGGGATCAGGACTGGGAATGGGATCAGGATCAGGAATGGGATCAGGATTTGGATCACGATTGGGAAGGGAATTGGGATTGGGATTGGGATGGGGAATGGAATTGGGATCAGGATCAGAATCAGGATTGGGATCAGGATCGGGATTGGGAAGGGAATTGGGATCAGGATCAGGATTTGGATCAGGATTTGGATCAGGATTTGGATCAGGATTGGGAAGGGAATTTGGATTGGGATCAGGATTGAGATCAGGATTGGGAAGGGAGTTGGGATCAGGATTTGGATCAGGATTTGGATCAGGATCGGGAAGGGAATTTGGATTGGGATCAGGATCGGGAACGCTCCACATCCACGGAAAAGCAGGAAGAGGAGGAAGGAGGAATTCCCAAAGTTTGGGATGGGGAACGCAACATCCGGGACCTCGGAGCTGCCGGAGCGGCTTTGGGGGAATTCCCACTTAAAAACGGGGAAAAAATGGGAAAAATCCCTTTGGGGTTGTTTTTCCCGGGAATCCGAAGCGCCGGGAAAGGGAAATTCCCGGGAATTCGCGAAGATCCCGAGGTTTTCCAAGGAAAATTCCAG